CATTATCGTTGGACCTCTTTATACTCTTCACTTAAAGGGCTATGTCAAACTAGTTGCTAGTGTTATAGTATATGGAAGGGACTATATCGCACTATTGGAGTAGAACCGCCATGACTCATTAGTGAACTATTTAATTATAGCATTATGATGATGACCAAATTAAAGGTAATATTGAATATGGTTTATTGCGTACCTAATGTTAACCTTGTTAAATCTTGACGTAAGTTCTCATATGGGCCAAGTCGGAGAATGTAAGACTAAATTATTTATTTAGTCATTATATTGACCCACATGATATGGCAATATGAATTAGAGATTTGGCAGGATTATGATTCCATATTTTTTGCTACAATTAATTGGTAAATAAAGAAGAGTGTTTTCCAAGTATCCTACTTTGATGGGAAAGTGGAATCATTGTTGAATAAGGAAAATGGTCCTCTCTCTACCTATAAAAGGACAATCAGACTACCTATTAAAATAATTCTAAATTCAATGTATTCTAAAGAGGGTCAAGAGAGAGAAACCTTTTTCCACTAATATTATTATTAGGTTTTTGCTCAATCAAATTTGGGTCACTTGAAGGTTTCGTATAACTGATCCAAGTATGTTTTTTATTTTCTGCATTATGTTATTATTTGTGAAAATCATGATAGTGCACGATTTTGGATTATGAAGGTTGTTATATGCATAACACCATAAAATTTTTACAACGTTTTGCAAACTTAATGGGTTTTTGATTTTTTTTAATTGTATGTGAAAATGTTGCTTGTTCGTGGAAAGTCTTGGAATCTATGTAAATGAAACTCTTAGTTTTCATTATATATTATTGAATTCGGAGTTAGAATGCTTATGTGTAAAATGGCTTTTGAAATGGGTTGTGAATATCGGAACCTTGGTTCGTTCGTTCATGTTTAGAAGCAAAACGACCGTATCAAAATCCAAGTGTAAAAAAAAAAAAAAAAAAAAATCTAGTGTTTGGTTGCTCTAGGTATATCTTATGCCTCTTCAATTTGATTCTGATCAGGATATCTCTCATTTTTTGTTTACTATCCAATCCCAGATTTGGTTCATTGGCGTTCTTATGGAGATTATTACGTTTATTTTGAATTTCAAATTCACATCCACATAGATATGATCTATGGTAACATTTAATTTCTTATATATGGTTTTGCCATTATTTATGATATTAACAACTAATTTTAAGGGTAAATGTGTCAACCAACTTCCCACAGGACTTATGAGAACATAAGTTTTTACTTAGGACCATATGTAGCATAAGTCTCTATAATAGGACTTGCAAATAATTCTCTCAATTTTAATTACTATGCAAACTTTTAATGTTCTAAACCTCTAATAGAAACATGTAGAGGGATTAAGAATGTAAAATCAAAATCAATCTTAAATAAATAATAAAAAAAGAATGTAAAACTGGCCTGGCTGGGCCGAAGTAGTTCCCAAAAATCTAGGCTTAGGCCCAAGTCTAAGCCTAGGCATAGGGGTAACGGGCTTCAAGCTTGGGTTGGGCCTAGATTGGGTTTCATTTTCTTATAAATTTCTTCGCCAAAAATAACCTACAAGTGATGTTGGGTGTTGGTCGAGTTGGTCCTTGAGTCAGGCTTCAAGTCGGACTCGTTGCGTTGAGATTTGGGTTGGACCGAGCCTAAACATGCTTGGTCCTAGCCCGGGGGTCATAGACCCAGCCCACTTGGGCAAGCTTCGGCCAGTCTTGAGCCTACAAGCCAATTTAACATAAAAGAAGGATGTATTCCTAATTTTTCATATATAAAGAAAACACTACAAGAATTTACACAATTGCCGACCACTTTTGCCGACCAAAAAAATTTTGGTCGCAAAAAAATGACATTTGGCGACCAAATATTAATTAGTCGCGAATGATCATTATTTTTGGCGACCAAATATTATTGGTCGCAGAAGGTTATATTTTGGCGACCAAAAAAAGAGTTGGTCGCAGAAAGTGGTATGCTTTTGCCGACCAACTACAAATTTGGTCGCGAAAAACTTATTTTCAGCAACCAAAAAAAATTGAGGAGGACACAAAGAGAAAATAGATGAGAGATAGATAGGACAAGACGACATGCAGGTAAGAGCTGATGAGTGAGAGAGAGAAAAATAAGAAAGACAGAGACACAGAGAGAAAGAGAACAGACAGACAGACAGACAGAAAGAGTGATGAGAAGAGAGAAGACAGACAGACAGAGAGAGAAGAGAGACAGAGACAGAGAGATAGGAAGATGAAAAAATTGGTGAAAAAGTTCCGTGTCTAAAGTCTCCTTTTCTAGTAGTAAGTTGTCTCTATCATTCATGGTAGAATAGAGGCGCTGATTTGGGAATTGTATATTTTATATAAAAAATCAAATTGAAATATTTTATACAATCACACCTATTTAGGGAGTGTGATTAAATAATATATATATATATATATATATATAATTACACTTATTTAAAAAGTGTGATGAAAAAGTAGTAGTGTATATATAATCACACTTTAATTAGAATGTGTGATTAAAAAATAATAAATAATCACACTTTAATTAGAATGAGTGGGTAAAAAATATATATATAATCACACCTATTTAAAAAGTATGATTAAAAAGTAGTAGTGTATATGTAATCACACTTTAATTAGAAGGTGTGATTAAAAAATATATAAATAATCACACTTTAATTAGAATGTGTGATTAAAAAATATATATATAATCACACTTGTTTAAAAATTGTGATTAAAAAGTAGTAGTATATATATAATCACACTTTAATTAGAAGGTGTGATTAAAAATATATATATATATATATATATATAATCAAACTTAATTGAAAAGTGACATAAAAAATAAATATTATCACACTCAATCAAATTAAGTGTGATTAAAATATCAATCTAATTTTTTTTATCACACTTTCAATAAAAATGAGATCTTTTTTTTTTTGTCAAAGTGTGATCTTTAACTATTTTTGTAGTAGTGGAGAAACAGAGAGAGCAAGAGACTGAACTTATTTGGGTCTATGTACATATTGATAGAAAATAAATTGGGCGGTAATGTAAGAGTGTATTCCACCAAAAACATGAATCTGTGTTTTTGAAATTGTTTAACTTTATTGCCGACAAAATGTTTTTGGTCCCTAAAAATAAGTATTTTGCCGACCACATTTTTGGTCGGCAAAGATCAAAGTAAAAAAATTTCATTAATATTTGGCGACGAAAATATTAGTCGCAGAAAAGGAACCTTCGCCGACAAATCTTTTTAGTCGCCAAATCTCAATCAACGGCGACTAAAATATTTGTCGCTAAATGTATTAATTTGGCGACTAATTTTTTTGGTCGCTGAAAATATGTTTTTGGCTACCAAATTTTTGGTCGCCAAAGAAAAAAATTATTTTTGGCGACCAAAAGACCATAGTAGTCGCAAAAAAAAATACATTCGCCGACAAATATTTTTAATCGCCAAATCTCAATCAACCGACTAAAATATTAGTCGCTTAAAAGTACTAATTTGCCGACT